TAATGAAGCATTCAATATGTCAGTTCACGGATAGTTTATTTTGATTTTTGAATTTGCATATTGGAAAGTAATTAAATAATCTCGGATATCGTGGATTTGCAAAAAGTTAAATGTTTAAGTTTGGTTAAATTGTCTGCTTACATTGTTAAACATTGATCTGCTTGTTTTTATTTTTATTATAAACGTAAATCTGACCTATCTTGAAATAATCAAGACAAGGATAAGTGCAATGTAAGAGATAAATGGGATGCCATACACTGACTGTATGAATATGAAGTTTGGGAGTACAATAAGGGGAACTACTGTTGGATATGTATCAACAAATTTTCTTGATTTTTATCTAAAAAACAAATATTCTTGATCTAAGTAGTTAAAAGCTTTTATGTGGTTTACTGAACAAATCTAGCTATCATCTACTGCATCCATGCTAAAGTAGTGAGCTCATAAACAATGTAGTGTTTTATGTTGCACCCCTGATATATAATTTTTTTTCCCATAATGGTGCAACAATTTTTCTTGTTATCATTCAGTCATTCTTATATACCTCCATGAAAATGATCTATGTACCATGGTGCCACTATTATATCATTCTTGTGGATTATGTTTCTACACTGCCATGGATTACTTCCAAAGGGAAGTGACTTATTTTTTTGGGAAGCCATTAGCCATGGAAGTGAATTTTTTCTCAAATATGCAGGTATATACAACACATAATCGTTTAGTAACCAATAATGGGAGAATTTGTGGCACTCTCACAATCCTCCATACTACTTCCTGATTTCCGGGTCCAAGGTTGGTGCCAAAGGCAGCTTTTTCTAGGTCATCATCAAGCACCATCAGTAATGCCCTTGTCATTGCAAGTTCTGACTAAGGTGCTGTTCTCTTCACCTTATTATTTGAACTAATTAAGTTTTACTTCATGCGTCTCACTGTGTCCCATCTTTCCATTTTCATCCGTTCCACTTAGTTTGCTCATGTCGTTTTTGTCATACTTTGTGGTTCTAATTCATTTTACTTTATTCACACTTTGCAAATTTAATCAACCACGTGATTTCACTTTTCATAATAGTCACTTCCTCATGTCCCATTTAATGGTGCAGAGGTAGTATTATTTAAATCTGTCCTAAAGAAAAACATAAGAAAAGACTAGACCCGAAAGATTCAAACCATACCAGAAACATTCAAGCATTGAAGCCTGACAAGACTAGAAACATCCTGACCAGACAATATCGGATCGTAACCTATCAAGGTTGTGAAAGGCTAAATCGGGCCCCGAGGAGGTTGGCGGTAGCCGGTAGCCTTGCGAGGCGTAAGCCTCAAAATGACTTGTTAAAGTTTTGCTACAACATATCTGATAATATAGATAATTCATAATAATAATTCAGCTAAACAAAATCATAATAAAACACCAAAGTAAAAAAAACAACATCATCATCATCATTTACCCCAGTGCCGCAAAGGCTCCCACCTTCGGTGGGGTAAGAGGGGTCGAATGTACGCAGTCTTACCCATGTACTAAAGCATAGAGAGAATGTTTCCAAATGACCCGTAGTGAAAATTGCGTCCAAAATTGCATGGATTGACCGCTGCTTCATAACAAAGAAGCGCATACAGTTTAGTGAGCGATTTTGCTTTATTCCATCATATTCTCAAGCCAAACAATAATGAATCTTTGGCTCCTTTGCAAATGATGGAAATACCAAAGTCAAAAAAGAACATAAAGCACTAAAATATCCAAGACAAAAGAGCATAAAAGGCTTAGAGATTTAAGTTTTGCGATTGGGAAATTGCAACTATTAATCTTAAAAAATAAGCCTATTGTTCATTTCATCGTTCTCCAAGTTTTTTTTTTTAATGTTATTCTCATTTTCATTCCCTTCCGTATCACGGGCATGGTTTTCAAAGGCGTTCAGTGCATCCACCTCTGAGGTGCAAAAGCGTCAGTGAAATGCTTATAAGGCTTAAGCCGTACGTGCTCATATTAAGTCTTACGTTTACGCCTACATTTTGTTGAGGCGAAAAAGCGTAGAGGCGAAGACGGTGGGCGCAGAGGCGTAGGTGATGCGTAAGTCTCAAATTCCATGCTTGCGCTGAGTTTTTTAAACTATGGGCCTCGCTTTTTTTAATTTTCCTCCTAAAAATTGATATGCAAATTACCTGAAGGCTCTTAGTAAACTATCAATCGTCATTCTTCACTTAGTTGACAACTTGAAGTCCTCATTTAGTCGTCTTTCAACATCCGCGACCAGACACATCAACCGTTGCTCTCTTAGGAGAAGCTCCAACAGTGAGATATGAGCTGCTTTGTCCACCTAATTATCCCACTAATCCCACCATCGCCTTATTTCTTTAATTATTTTTTGTTTTGAAATTTTAATTATTTAACTTCAAGTTTTAAACTTTTTAATATTTATACTAACCTATTAGGCTATAGTCTTACAGTTTGAACTTGTCTATCAAAGTTATCGTTTAGCCATATTATTTACTCCCCCCATCCCGCTAAATTGCTCCGTCTTTCCTTTTCGATCCATCCCAATAAGATTGTCCCATAACAAATTTGGTAAAATTCGTGTGGTTCTAAATCATTCTTACTTTATCAATTCAGTATCAACCACATAAACTCACATTAATAACTAAGGAATAAGGTGGTGGTAGGATTATCGGGATAATTACCTGGATTGAGCCGTTGGAGCTTCTCCCGAGAGAGCAGCGGTCTCGGGTCGTGTTGAAGACGACTAAACGAGGACTTAGGGTTATGGACTAAGTGATGAACGATGATTGATGGTTTACTAAGAGCCTTAAGGTAATTTATATATTAATTTTTAGGAGGAAAATTGAGGCCCGTGCTTTAAAAAACTTAGCCCAAACATGGAATTTGAGGCTTACGCATCTCTTACGCTTCTAAGCCCACCACCTTTGCCTCTACGCTTCATCGCCTCAACAAAATGGAGGCATAAGCCTTGATAATAGCAGGTAAGACTTAAGCGTTTAAGTGACGCCTTTGCACTGAACTCCTTTAAAAGCCATGTAAACTATTAAATCATATGACATCTTTTTCAGGCGAAGAGATCACTTCTTGAGTTGCCTACACAGTCTACACGTATTTGCACTCATGAAAACAGATTCAAGTGGGGCGTCCGTGCTGGTGTTGTCTCTGACTTTAAGGCTGCGTCCAACTTTGCTACTGATTCAGCTGAAGTAGGGCATGATGTTTTACCAGATTCTGGTGGTAATGGTGCTGGAGATGTCCCTAATGGTGGTTCAAATGACAATGGAGGTCATGGCGGTAATGATGATGGTGGTAATGAAGGGGAATCAGAACACAGCAAAAGGAAAGCAGGTCTTTCCATGTCACAGAAGTTGACTCTGGGGTTTGCTTTCTTGGTTGGGGCTGGTGGAGTGATGGGCTTTTTGAAGAGTGGGAGCCAAAAATCATTGATCGCTGGTGGAGTTTCTGCCTCACTTTTGTATTGTGTCTACACCATGCTTCCAACAAACCCTGTTCTTGCATCATGCATAGGCTTTGTCCTCTCTGCTGGGCTTTTGGGTGTAATGGGCTCTCGCTTTATGACATCAAAGAAGGTCTTTCCCGCTGGTATTGTCTCCTTGGTTTCCCTTGTTATGACAGGCGGATATCTACATGGAATCTTTCGTAGTGTGCATTAGAATAGATGAAATTGTACGCTGGGCTCTTCTCTTTATTGAAACAATGTTAGTAATATGCCAACAGTTGTACTAGTTAATTATAGACTTCCTGAAGTGCAAAGAACCTACTCTATTTCCATCTTATACCATCTTTTTCGAACAAGTCTATGCATATGGTTTGTTTTTTGGGGCTCTCCGTAATAATTTTTGAACAAGAAATGTAATTTTTGCCGCAAAGACTACTTCCTTCAGTCTCAGACCAGGGCTTGGTTTGGCATATTGTAGTGTGGCTGGTTTAGAACAAAAGCCAAGTTTTAGATTGTTACTACTTTTTTTTGACAGAAGATTGTTACTACTTTTGAAGCTCCAACTGCAAACTTGTCACAAACGCTATTTTATGCTTCTGTGGCGAGTTTGGTTATTGATGGATAGTCTACCCGGGGGTGTCTTATCCGAGGGGTTATTACGGGATAACCTAGAGAGAAGTCAGAGTAAATAGGAGGAGAGAGAGTCGATTGTATTAAATGAACTCGAGATGTGAGATCTGGGATCGTTTACAAGGAGAAATGGACTGCTATTTATAGCAGCAATAAATGCGATGAGAGTACACGTGTCAACAATCCAATGGCCGAGGGGTCACATCACTCGGGGTGGCACCGGCAGTGGCATGTTCACCGCATTGAATGCGGTGGGTGGATGTGACGTCGCATTAAATGCGGTGGTTGGCTGTCTCCAAAGGAATCTTCGATGATTATGCCTGTTTGGCCGTATGCTCCCCGAGTAGCCTAGGGCTCCTCGCGTAACCGAGGGCTTCGTGTGGCCGAGGGCCTTGTATAACCGAAGGCCCGGTTCTTCAGCCGAGGGCTTCTCTAACGCCGAAGGCTTCACAGTGCCGAGGGCTCCTGTTTTTCCGCCGTTTTCTCCCAGTAGCTTCGCATGCCCAAAAAAGGCTATCCTGTGAGTTTTGGAGCCTTCGGCCAAGGAGGTCGAAGGCACCCCAGTGTGTATTCTGGGCTCCTTCGAGGCTTGGGCCGTTGCATTTGGGCCTGAGATGTTCCTTGGGCTCAATGGACCTGTGTAGGAGGAGTAGGAGTCTGTGGGCCGGGGGTTCCTGGGCCATATACTCCATCAGTTATTTTTGTTTAAACATTTAAAATTTATAACTATTTTTATTTCATTGCTAGTTCTATGAATGGTCTCACTTGGACTTATTTCAGGCGCGTATCAGATAAGATTAGATTTAAACAATAGTAAAAACATATAATACTATATTTTATTAGATCAGATTAGATTAGACTAGATTTAAACAAATGAAACTAGCTATAAACAAATTGGACCAAACCAAAGTCACTAAACCACCCGAAAATATCCTTACTACCAATGATTATTAATAGAAATGTAACATTAAGATATGGGCCATTTAGGGTTTCTTTGGTAATTTGGTTCGGATAGGAAGAGAGAATTGATTTTTATAGTAGTTCATCCCTACTCGTAATTAATTAGCTAGTCCAAACAAAAAATAATTAAAGAAATTAACTTGAATAGGAGAAATTAGTTTTGACCCGTAATCTATGGAGTTTTTTTATCATCAAATCCAACTCTTATATTAAAACCATTAGGGAAAGGATCGTTACAACAAACCCAAAAAGACCAACCCTGACAAAAACAATTCCTAATCAACAATCATAATCAACCTTACGGTTAGACTCTGAGGTGATCACCCCTGAACGAGCAATATGAATCGTTAAGCACCAAGCGGGGATGACACAGCAATCAGTGACCATATAGATCCTTGATATAATATCTAGCAGAATTGACAATCATTATTGTAGACCTAAAACTAAAGTCCTCAACAAAAAACGAAACGCCGTAAACAAACATAACACGAAAATAAGACCATAAAAATCATCTTCCAAACCTCGACTTCTTGATCAATCCAAGGCGGCGGTTTAGGAGGGAGACGAACCGCCAATCTCTATTCTTCCTTGACCGGCCTTTTGTCGCTCTGTGCACTGCTACGTCTCTTCGGTTCTTCCGTCAAAACACCACGAAACTGCCAGTCAGAACCAAAAACTTCATCTGCCTCCTTTGTTGCCTCCCCTTCCGAATTCTCTATGCCGAAATTAAAAACGGATGGCCAGAAACCAGCCACGTTCCTCGGCGTAAGCCGATAGCGGACGATCGAAACTAGCGACTTGCCTTGCGGCAACCCTAGAGACAGAAAATGAATCATGCTTAGCACGACCCGTAATCTGTGGAGTTGAAAAGGAGATCTATAATACATTCTAAGATGTTGACATATAGAGATTAATTTATTAAAATTTAAAGATGTTGGCAAATCTCAACACCCACTGGTCCACTACCCGCCTCAAATATTCAACATTCTCAATTCCATGCACCCAACTCCTCAGTTTACACTTTGCGGAACTCCCTCAGGCCCATGAACTTCTCAACTACGTCATTCACCACACATGTTTAATAAATACTCTTGTGATCAGCAATATGGAAAAGATAAACCTAAAATCTCAATCTTTTAAAGTTAGCCCTCAACGTCTTGTGAAGAACAAGTTTTGCGTCCCTCCCTTCGTTTTGTTTATCAATAGCAAACTTTAAAGATTTTTGCATCTCTTTATAAGAGTAAAGAATGCTTATAAGACTAATGATCATAACTAGACACGGAAGGGAGCTCAAGAGTCTGCTTGCCAGTCTAGAAAATTCAAAACATGTGGAGTGAGGTAACTATATATACACGATCGAAAATTCAAAACGTCGTGTATAGTTACCTCACTCCACATGTTTTGAATTTTTTAGGCTGGCAAGCAGACTCTTGAGCTCCCTTCCTTTGCAGGGTTTGATTGTTGAGGATTTCTCAACAATCAAACAACCACAGAAAAGAGAGAAGAAACATATAGAAAGCTCCGATTTAATACAAAAAAGATTGAGAAATGAGGTACATCGTATAAATCGGCCGCCAGTCTCCCTCAAGAGAATGCAGCGTAGAAACTTATCTATTGCTAGGCTGCCTCTATTCTATGATTCCTTAAGGGTTTCCCTTCCTTTTATACATAAGGATGTCTAACTTAAGGCTTGCAAAAGGGGCTAACGAGCTGAAATACATTTGTGGCCCATATTACATATCTAAATGATAACTACACAAATACCAAGATTTTAACTAGATTGGACACCATAAAATATTCCCAACAGGCGTCCCTCCCTAGCTCTCAAACCCAGGGCACTGGGTTGATAAAAAGATTTTTTTTGAAAAAAAAATTAACACGGAATTTTATACACAAAAAAATTAGACAATTTTAAAAATTGGGTTAGGTCAGGGCTGACCCTTCCCTAGCTCCGCCCATGAATCGGTTGGGCAGGTAGGCAGCCTCTTGAGCTCCCTTCCGTCAGGCTAGTAGGCTGACCGTCTTAGACTTTTGCATTGTTCGGCCCTAAACTTTGTTAGGATTAAGACTTGGGTGTTATTGTTGTGTTATCACCTGATTCGGAGTTAGCAAATTCAATGGAACGGATGTGATACTTTATTGCTTCGTATGTTGCGAAGAATAATGCACTAATACTCACTCCGTCTCATAGAAAGGTTCTTATTTTCTTTTTTGGTCATCCATATAAAGATTTTTATTTCCATTTTAGGAAATGGAATAATTTACATTCCTAAATAACAAATTAGTCATTAAATATTAAAAATAATACATTTATAGCATCACAGTTATGAACACTAACATCCATGGGCGGATTTATCAAGGGGTAAAGGTGGGCTTCAGCCCAGCCCAACCTAATTTTTTTCTATTATTTTTAGTATTGATTTCATATTCAGCCCATCCTAAAAGTATTGTCAAGCCCACCCCAAAGGCATGATTAAAGACAACTCAAACAATTAAAAGCCCATAACCATGACAACATATGGCCCCGCAGCATAAAGCCGAGCAAGGGGCTTATTGTTGTCATCGTTGCATCCCATTTACGTAAGGAGCAATTATTTTATAGGAAACTGAGTAGGATGAACCATTATTTGCAACCGGTGTGGAAAAAATTGAGTTTTTTTTTTGTTTACATACGAAGTACAATACTCCTATCTCACCCACTCACACCACATCATCACTTACTCCTTTGATTTGTATTTTGTATTTTATATTACAACATCAATTTACAAAGTCATTATGCTAAACATGCAGTAATTTGACGATTATTATTATATTATACTCCCTCCGTTCCCTAACTTTGTCCCGTTTTACCTTTTTCGTCCGTCCCATTAAGTTTGTTCCATTCCATATTTGGTAATATTTGAGTGGTTACAATTCATTCTTACTTTATTCACACTTTATCAATTCAATATCAACCATACAATTCCACTTTATCTTAAAAGTTGTGTCACACCCCTTTGTTCCAAACATAGTGGGACAAAGGTAGTATTATATTACTATTATCAATATAATAATACTACTATAATTATCATGAATTTTTTTGGTATCCTTTTTCTCATTTCGCTTTTAATTGGGGTTTTCATGGCCCAATTTCACTATGTTTATTATCATTGTTTTTAAAAACCCTATGCCCTTTTTGGAGAGGTCTTGGTCTTGTCCCCTTGCACTTTCTTTTTTCCTTAATAAAACTTGGCAATGCTCCCGACTGATTTTAGTGGTTTATCTACCGGGAAAAAGAATCATGAGTTTTTTTTGTAAAATATTGCATTCTTTTATTTAAGATTACATTTATATACTACCTAATAGTTCTAGAATTATTCATTGTTTGGAAATATAAGAAAAAAATTAAAAATCTCAATTCAGTTTTGAAATAGGAATACTTATTAGCTATATGTACACCCATTGTTTTTACTTACTAGTTTTTTACCTTTAAAGAAGTACTTCAATTCATACCAATAAATACCAGAGACTTTAATAATCATTAAAAAAAATTATAAAATATCACTAAAACATTTAAATGTTAAGATATATAAATTTTCATCCTATAATTTATGAGTTATCGACAGGCTCGAGTTCGGACCGAATCGAATATCACTATGCTCGAACTCGGCTTCAATAATTATTCGAACTAAAAATCTAGTCCATGTTCGAGTCTAAACTTCGCTAAGTTCAGGTTGTTAAATTAAATTCGAAATCATGCTAGAACTCGAATACTTCAAAAAAAGTTCGGTTCAATAACAACCTTAAGTTAAAACCTCTTGTGTGCAGTAACAAATTCTTTTACTGCTTATTCCACCCCACTCTGCATTCCTGAATCCGCCCCTGCTAACATCATTATATTATACATCAGTACATATTAAGATTATTTCTCAAAATATAATCGAACTATCTTAATTAATTATTATTTAAATATCAATACCGTTTTATCATAGGCCGGAGCTTTCAATGAGACGGAAGTAGTATCATTATTTATAAATTCAACAAAAATTGATACTACGTACATTGAACTTTCTTTTCGGAAATCAAATTGATTGTTCGTGAAACTTATGTACAAAGCAACTAATCAATCTCAAAACAATTTGTGGAGTTGGTTGAGCCAGCCAAAGATATGATCAAGACACACAAAAGAACGGCTCAGTAGTGGATAGGACGCGTATAAGTAGAGCGAGCAGAGTAAAAACTATAGCTGACGACTCGCAGAAGTAGGTACGTACGTAGCTGGAAAGTCGGCACCACCATCCTGCATGCAACAAGTAAATCGGATAACTTGATTAGAAGGTTGAAGCAGTCTAGCTAGATTGACTCGTCAGTTCTCCCGGAGTTTGAGATGTTTGACCGATCATAAACTTAATTAATTCATGTTATTACTAGAATTATTTTTAATAAATAAAACTTACATATTCAGAAACTACATTAAACGTTCTATAATGTTTGATAAAAAAATTTTGATAAAAGTTAAATATATAAAATAAAATATTAAGAACAATGCACGTTGACCGGAGAATAGTGGACGAGAATCTTTAAATGAGACGAAGGGAGTACTTTTAATACCCTCTTCCCACCGTTCAACAATGCCAACAACAACAATATATACCATTACCCCAATACCGCAAAACTACATAGAGGTAGACTATTTCTGACATAATTTATGATGAAAATTGCGTCAATAATTGTATAGACTAATTGTTGTTTCATAATAATAAAATGCATACAGTTTAGTGAGTCACTTTGTTTATTATTCCATCATACTTCCTTCGTTCCGTAGAAAGGTTTTCACTTTCCTTTTTTGGATGTCCCATATAAAGGTTCTCAATTTCATTTTATGAAACAATTAACAATCTTAAGTGACAAATTATTTATTAATTATTAAAAAATAATACTTTTATAACATCACACTTATCAACATTAACCCCATTATATTATATACCGATAAAATTATCTCACAAAATATACCTAAACTACTTTATTTAATTATTGTCTAAATAATCGTGTCATTTTAGCATAGGAACCTTTCAGCAGGACGGAGGCGCAAATTATACCGTGGGATCGGCCCACCGGCCTTGCGCATGGTGTGCCGATCCCAAATGACGTTGTTTAGTTTAGTAAAAATTAGGTTCACAACCGGTTTTCTTCTCCGCAGCTCAACAAACTCTTCTCTACTGCTATTTTGTTCTCCGTTGTTTAACGAACTCTCCTCTACTGCGATTTTCTCATCTCTGTTCAATGGAGTTTTCTGTCATTGATTCTGTTCTTCTGAATTCTTCAACTGAATTGTGTGATCATTTGCCTTCCAATATACACGATATCGACATTCATTCAACTGGTGATAATGACTTGGAATTTGATCAACAGGTTGATGTTGAATGGATTGGTAAGTATTTAATGTTTTGAGTTGTATGAATTTCTTTTGTTTGTGTGTGCATATGATATTCTATTTTAGTTTTCTTTTTTTATTAGTTGGCGTTGGAATTTGGATTGTTGTATTCATATTTGTTGAATTTTTGTTGTTTTAGGTTCGAGTGAAGAAGATACTTGTTCACGTGCTTCTAAATTGTTATTTCTTTTAAGCAGAGGTACTTTTTCTGTCATGTGATACAATTTTGTTCTGTTAAGTTTAGTTCAATCCTATGTAACTATTTGTTGAACAACATGTAACCTCTGTATACTCGTATGTAAGCTTTTGTTAAATTGTGTGTAACTACTGTTTTAGCAATTGTTGTTTGTTTTGATATGTACGCTTTTAAAATTGTCAGATGCATTGGAAACTGTTGATCAGGCAACGGAGAGTAAATCACTTGTTGGATTTAGTGTTGTTGATGAAGGAGAGTGGGACAAAGGTTTTGATATTCACAGGATGCTTCAAAAGCAATCTGGAGGTGTTAGTTCTCTTGGTTTCACCAAATGTGATGCTTATAACGTCTTAGAATCTGAAAGGAATAAAACGTTTGATGGCACTAATTCAAACACTTTGATAGGTATATTGAAGAAAAGGGCTGAAGTGGAATCTGATTTTTTCTTTGATTTTGATTTGGATGATGGTATCCTGAGTTGTTGTTTTTTTAGAGATGGGCAAATGAAATCGGATTATGATAGGTTTGGAGATGTAGTTATTCATGATACAACTTACAGGACTTACAAGTATGACATGATCTGTGGTCCTTTTGTTGGTTTGAATCATCACTGTAAAAACATAATGTTTGATTGTGGTTTTATGTTGAATGAGAAGGTGGAATCTTTTGTTTGGTTATTTCAGACATTCCTCAAATCTATGGGTGGTAAACGCCCCATCACTTTGCACTGGGCATATAGATGAAAATTCCAAGAAACACATCATGTTTCTACGCAAGAAGCTGAACTTTGTGCCTTTATTTGATTATGCTATTAAACGATGTGACACTGTTGCCGAGTTTGATTTCTACTGGACTTAGTAAGTAATTTATCTGTTGTAACTTATGTTTTATTTTGTGTAACTTATGTGTTATTTTTGTGTAACCTGCGTTGGTTTTATATGTAACACTGTTTTTATTTTTTAAATTGGTTTCAGGTTGAACAAAGTGTATGAATGCAGTGACAATACATGGTTGAAAAGGCTCTACAGTCATAAAGAAAAGTGGTGTCCTACATTTTCAAAGGATTATTTCTCTGATGGCATTCTATCCTCCCAAAGAAGTGAATCTACAAATAGATCCATATCTAGAAGACTCTCAAAAACTGCAACATTGTGTGACTTTTACAAAATGTTTGGTGATGTTGTTGAGGAATGGAGATCAGAGGAAAATGGTCAAGATTTCAGATGTTCAGAAGGCACTGTTGAGATGGTACTGCTACAAGATAATTTGTTAACTCATGCTAGAGATGTGTATACCCTTGAGATCTTCAAACTGTTCCAAGAACAATATTTGAAGGGTATGTCACATTTTTTTAAATTAGTAACACAGAATTGTCATGATTGCGTGTATCATGTTTGGTTGGATGGTGTAGATTTGATTAGACACATCGTTACTTTTAATGCAAATGACAACACGCTGACATGCACTTGTAAGATGTTTTCAGAAGTTGGCATTCTTTGTAGACACATTTTGCGTATATATAATGTTCATTGTGCGAAATTCATTCCTCGAGATTATATAATGTCTAGGTGGACGAAGGCTGCTATTTTGCCAAATATGGGTCATTCTCATATTGAAGCACCTCATACTCTGTTTGGGAAAATATTGGAAGATTCTGTGTGGAGAGTGCAAATGACTAGGAAATTCAATACAATATTGGCTTCAAGTGCTGGTTCGTTGAAGCTAGGCAAGTATGTGAGCAACATTACGATTCGATTAAAAACTTCTTAGATATTCAGAAACGTTGCACTGCTAGAGATGAATCTGCTTCTGAATCGAGGGCCATATTGGATTATCCACGTTCTCTTCCTAAAGGTCAACGAAACACACGAAAGAAAAGCATTGTTGAAAAACAATGCAAAATAGTCAAATCTCGCAGGTCCAAATCCCAACAAGTTTCATATAATTCAAAACTTGTTGCCCAATCAGTTGTACAAGTATATTTATATATTTGTTTAATATTTTATACTATCCTCCATTCTATAATTCTTGCAACAATTTGACTTTCCCGTTTGTCGATGCACAACTTTGACTGTAATTATATTTAATTATGTATTAGTAAACATTATAAAAAGTTGATATTTTGGAAATTTACATTTATATGAATTCAATAACATTTTATACGTAATAATTTGATGAAGTATATTAGTTGAGAATCGCGGTCAAAGTAAGGTCTATGAATAGTGCAAAAACACAATGTTGCTAGAATTATAGAACGGAGGAAGTATTATTTTACTTTTTTGTGACAATTGTTTACTAACAGGAGACTGTTAATTGCATGGTGCCACATAGTTATCTTGCTCATCCAGTGCATGGAATGACTTCTTTGATGCCTATTGTTGGGATCTCCACGAGTTTTCACTCCATACTTTGTGCATCCAAATGTTGGGAATCAAATGCAAATTTAGTAATATTTAATTAGTATGATTGTAATATGCTCGAACACTGGCTGTGCAGTTTTGCATTTTTACATCTTTGTATGCTCGTTTTACATTTATCAGTAATGCTGTTTACATTTCATATACCTTTTGTTTACATTAGTCTTTCGTTGTTACACTTGACTTGGTTTATCAATAAAGTTTTAGTGTGTGTTACATTTCATCTTGCCTCTGGTTAAATTGTTTGATTGATGGATTTACATTACATGAGTTTTATTTATAATGGTTTATTGAAGTTACATAACTTTTTGGAGTTACATAATCCACAAGTTACATATTAAGTCACTCACGTTACATATTATTATAAAACAGTTACATAACTAGTAAGTGAATTAATTTCATTTTGATTTTACAAAATTTACAAATTTTTTACTGTTCTTTTACACAAGTTATATCACTGGTATCAAATCAATGCACAATCCCTATTGTGTAACACATTGAATGCTCTATTACATGAGTTTCGTTCTTTTTTGGCTTTAGTTACAATATCCTGTAACGTGAGTTACATTTGTTCTAGCCGTTGTTTACATCACCTGAATTTCAATCATACAAAATTCATATATAAGCAGTTTGCTTAGAAAATATCTTAAACCAAACATAGAAGTTGTCCATACCATCACCACCTACTCCATAAAACAAAATAATGTTTTAACATAATTCATAGCATCATGCCCTCCACAAACCAGCAAATGTTTTGTCAGAATCATTTGTGTAGTCCCACAACATTAATATCTTACAGCTTAATGTACTCTTTTGCTTTTTGAGAACAATTTCCCTTCCGTGTTAAATTTGGACAATAATAATTGAGCACCATACATTAATCTCAACTTTTGCAGTGTTTCTTTTTGAGATTTTATTCCCTGCTTTGTAGAAGCCGGTGCAAATCCAGAATCTCATCTGTGTCCCTGCCCACGATATGTCTCCAAATGGTGTATGGCGAATATTCCACAATCAATATTATTTTCATTACTTCTCCATGGCATAAGCAAAATTCTTGGAACCCGTGTTCTTGGCAGTGGATCTGTAAGTTTCAGTTTCTCACAGAAGACTTGAACCCCGCAACCTATACAAGAAGTTAAATCAATGTATTAAAATAAAATGTAATATATCATTTTTTATTTCCAGAAAAGTTGTAATGAATCTTTACCATCTGAAAAGATCCTGTCCAGCCGGAGGGACAGGATCCTCCGTCCGGCCGCCGCCGTTTGGGGTAGTTCCCGGTGGAGTTTTTTGATGAAATTCTTATAGAATGTTCCTCATCAAGTCTAGTTTATCCACAAAAAATTTCAGATGAAAATTCGATCGGGAAGGCAGTCAAATAATTTTTTGAAACATAACTGCGTTTTATATGTTTAATTTGGCGCAGTTATCTTCAAAATATTATTTGACTGCCTTCCCGATCTCATTTTTAGCTGATTTTTGTGTGTGGATAAACTAGACTTAATGAAGAACATTCCATAAAAATTTCATCAAAAAACTCCACCGGGAACCGCCCCAAACGGCGGCGGCCGGACGGAAGATCCTGTCCCTCCAGCTGGACATGATCATTCCTCTCTTTACCATATTGTTAAAAGTTTCAGCATATTTATTCTGAAAAGGCACCCCATTTGGAAGCATGCGGTTGTCTATCACATCAACAATGTTATTTTTTGGGTAAAAGCAATAGATGTAGTAGTGCACATGCTTGTGAATTGGAAACAATATCTGCAGTATACGTTAGTCATAAGTAATTCATCTGTGTATTTTGCACACTGAAATCAGTTAGATAAAACAATACAGAATGTACATAACTCATATAAGCACATACATCATTCAACACCTGAAGTTACACGGTATGCTACACACTTTGCATATCTCTTATTATTTAATCCTTAAACTTAAAAAGCTTGATATATGTAGTTGCAATTTTTAACAATATACATATAAGAATTACCAAATATGACTTATTTTGTTGTAGTTTTTATATTTATATATTCACACATATAATTTCCTTTAACATCAGCTTCTGCTTCATTCATTTCCTTATCCAATCTTTCAACCATGTTTTCAATTGGGTCACCAGAGGTAAAATCTAACTGTGCCTGAACATTCAAATTGATTAAATTTAATCAGAATATAGAAACTGAAGTTCACTACTTTAATTTTCAAATTTACAAGAAAAAAATATCCATACATAGACTATGGTTGAAGCTATGAATGCACGCTTTGTAGTATTGTTTGACTTTTCTCTGTCATTCAAAATTCTTGTCCATGCGTCTATAATAGAGTTGTCTACAGTTTGATCTTCAAGGGTTTGCAACTCCTCATGAGTTATAAACACACCTCCTTCATCTTGGTAGACACAGTCACTAACAGAATAATATTTTTCAAACCAATATAAACTATTAATATAATGACGAAATAATATTTCTATTGAAATAATAAATTATATAATACCAGAATTTCTTACTTCGGAACTTCTTTTGAAAAGGCATAGTCAAGTACAATTTTTTCTTCCCTGTTTAGATCCTTACACAATCTTCTGTTGTTCTTCAGAAATGGGGATATGTAATTCACACATTCTTCACCTCACTTTTTAAGCTTCTTTCTTCTATATGCCTTCACCTCATCATTACTTTGAAAAAAAACAACATAGGGTTAAGTTGATTTGATTAGTTAAAAATATAAATGAATTACGTAAGAAACAAATAACACTTACCACTGATTGTTATCAGCTTCATTCTTTGCTTCACCATCAGCAGCGGTCTTGTAATATCCAGTCACCCCAACCTCTATATTCATTTCTTCATCAACATCATTTTGATTCACTTCAGGAGTATTGATTTTCTCTCCTTCATTTACACCTGCAGTAACAAACGTCTTCATTGTTTTCTCTTTCTACTGCTCTTACGATCTCTGCGGTCTATTCATAAGTTATCTGATCATCAGTCTGCTTCTGATTCTTTGGATTGGCATTTGCTTCAGGTTGAGACATGGTAAACTCAATGCCCAAATCAAATGAAGGCATTGAGAATTTCAGTAGTGCAGCTTTCTCAAGCTTTATAAGTGCTTCTATTACCCCAGGAAGAAATCATCATCTTCTTCCAATGTTCACTTCTCAAATAATCTCTGATTCTCAGTGGCATGCTCTTTGTCGTTAGTTGATGAAGTAATTAGCAGTCGTCAGGTATATCTTTTTGAAGATATATGAATTTGGGAATCTTTTTAAAATTGTCGATGGCAACTTTGAAAATTCAACAAAAGCATCACT